CCTTGATATCGTTATTATTATCATAATCATAATTATTAATACTATTACTGTTATCATTCTCATTATTATCATTGTTACCATTATGATTATTATCATTCTCATTAATATTATTGTTATAATGATAATAATAATATTATTATTATCATCATCATCGTCATCATCATTATCATCATCATCATCATTATCATTATTATCATTGTTATTACTATCATTGTTATTATTATCATTATTATTTTTATTATCATTATTATTATTATTATCATTATTATTGTTATTGTTATTATCATTATCGTTACTATCACTATTTTCAATGTTATTCTTATTTTTTCGCTATTATTATTACTCTCATTATTACCATCATCATTATTATCATTATGATTACTACGTCTACTACTACTACTAAAACAACAGCAACAGCACTACAACTGATTATACTATTGCTAAAAAAAACTACAACTACCATTACTACAGTTGCTACTACTATTACTACTCTGCTACTAAAACAACAATAATTATTATTATTGCTGCTGATACTACTACCACCACCACTACTACTACTACTACTACTACTACTACTACTATTACTACTACTGCTACTACTACTGCTACTACTACTACTATTACTACTACTACTACTACTACTACTATTACTACTACTGCTACTACTACTACTATTACTATTACTACTACTACTACTACTACTATTACTACTACTGCTACTACTACTACTACTACTTTTATTGCTACTACTATCCTTGTTATCATCATCAACATCAATATTATCGTTATCATTTCTATCATTGACAAACCCAACAAGGAAAACAATAAGCAAAGTGAAGGAAAAGAAGAAGAAGAAGAAAAAGAAGGAAAAGAAGACGAAGGAAAAGAAGAAAAAGAAGAAGGAAAAGAAGAAGACGAAGAAGAAGGAAAAGAAGAAGACGAAGAAGAAGGAAAAGAAGAAGCATGCTTTTTATATACATCAAAATCTGCTAATATATTTGCTATTAATGGTCTTTTTTATTTTATCATTACTTTTATGTCTCCCGTTTGACGTTTAGATCGGTTAGTGGAACAAACGTTCTACTAATGTACTAATGTACTACTTTTGTTACCCCTTAAAATTTCGTATATCTATTTTCTTTGGTGACGACGAACCACGTTTTTTGCTTTATTAATACACTTACAACTGATAAAAGCGTTTCAGTGATAAGTTGATAGACAGACACACAAACAAAAAAGAAAAAAGAAAAATAATGGTGTCATGAGATAGATAGGCAGTAGACAGTTCTCAGTCTCAATAATATTGAAGCGTAGGGCACTAAGCATTACCACATATCACGCTTATATTGAGGGGGGGGGGTGAAAGGGGGAGGGGGAGGGTAGCTAAGCTTAGGTGTTTTATACATGTGTTCTTAGGTGTATTAGCGTAAGTTGGCATTATGATTGTGTGTTTTATGTGTTGTTGGAGTCTGTTCTAGACATGAATGGTGCGTGGAAAGTATGTGTTTGTAAGTGTGTGCTTGTCTGCGTATTATGATGGCATCCGTGTGTAGTTGTTGTTTGATACGTGATGCCAAGAGTTTTAGTGTAATTGTTCTTAATACACCTGGCTGTTGAGGTTTTAATCTTTTCTAATTTACTAATATTTGTTTGTGTGTGTGGCTCCCATACTGTTACACAATATTCCAGAGTTGGGTGGACAAGTATATGTGTCTTGTGTAATTTTATAGGCGTTTGGGAACGGGTGAAATTAATGATTTTACATTATCTGGCCAAAAGGTCGTTTGCAATGTAATCTAGGTCAGTCTGGGGGAGTCTTCAGTCACCAGGTGTCTTAATTGGTCGATAGATGAAGCTGTCGTCAGCAAAAAGTGGTGGATAGTGGGAGGTTACTCATGTAGAGTAGGAAGAGGAGAGGGCCTAAGACGATGCCCTGGGGGACACCAGAAGAGAAAGGAACAGAGTTAGATATAGTACCGTTAAGAAGAGCGCGTTGAGTCTTGTTTTAGTGAAAAGCTTTGATCCAATGATTCTGTAAAGCTGTTGTCTTTTATGGGGGATTTTGCGAAAGGCTTTGACGAAGTCTAACAATACCGTCCACCTGTTTAACGGCACATCTGTTTAGGACTCTGGAACTGTGATGAGCAACAATGATATGGGGTTTGCATGCTCGTTTGGTTCGGAATCTGTATTGTGTGTCAGTATGCTGTTTGGGTCAAGGTGATTCATTATATGTTTGTGAAAGTGTTCAAAGAGTTAGGAGATGATGGAGGTGAGGGAACCGGGGCGATAATTTGATGGGTCAGTTCGGTCACCTGTCTTGAACATAGGGGTGACGACTGCACAAAGCCAGCCGGGTATGAGAGTATACCCTGAGAGATTGTGTGAATATGATTTGGAGGATGGGGGCGAGGACGTCACACAGATTTTGAGGAAGGGAGGGATTTTGTTGGGCCCAGCTGATTTGTTTATGGGCAGTGATTCTTGTTGTTTTTGCATATATAAATGTGTGTGCATGCATATACATATCTGTATACAAACATATGTATATACATACATGTATCTATACACACAGACACGCGTGCGTCCGTGTGTATATATATATATATATATATATATATATATATATATATATAAATATATATATAAATATATAAATATATATATATATATATATATATAAATATATATATAAATATATATACGCATATATACATTTACATTATAAATATATAATGTATATACGCATATATACATATACAGTATATATATATATATGTGCGCGTGTGTGTGTGTGTATGTGTGTGTATACTGTGTATTATATCGGTATTATATGCCTGCGTGGCCCCCACGTGGATACGTTTTGACCCTAGTCAAATAGAGTGTTCTGTGCCGCGGCAAGGTCACGTCTGACCGCGTGGCCAGGTTGCCGTTTGGCAGGGCTCGCCAGTGACCTAGGCGCCCTCGCCTTAACCCAATCTTTGTCATCATTGTGTTATCAACTCCGTGTGCTAACTCTTATCAATAAAGGGTTTTAAGCCACCCAAACTTTTACTATTCCCTGTCACCAATGTTTAGAGGTCCTTATATTGACCCTTTACAGTGTGTGTGTGTGTGTGTGTGTGCGTGTGTGTGTGTGTGTGTCGGTATTGTGTGTACGTCAATCGCATAAAAAAAAAATGGTGTAATGTCTATGCAGCAAGAGTGACGCAGGATAGCGAACGTTTCAAGGGCGGACTCAGATATTTTCCTGGAGTCATCCATTTTTTTTTTATCTGTCGAAATGAATATGCACGTCAAGCGCATGGTGTTTACTGCCTGAATTCAACATGTCGCTTCGTAGTCTGTCAAATGATTATCATCGCAGAGCCATCAATTTTCAAATACTCTTTCATCACCAAATTGACAACTGCGCCGTCGCCTCGATAGATAAAACAAAGTATAATCAAATGCATGTATAAGACTGAGTAGGAAAAAAAATAACGTGCTGTATCTATAATACATTATGTATATCTATTTCCATAAGCTTTTATTTTTACTACATTACAGGACAAGGCTTCCTAACTGATGCTCTTCTTGATCTTCTTGATTTCAGCTCTCTGATTAGAAATAGCCTGTCCTTATTTCACTGTCTACTTTGTTCGGCGTTCGGGTTAGCGACTGCCATTTTGTCTTTACGCAAGCCCTGCCACTTCTACTTACAGGGCCGGATCCAGGGGGGGGGGGGCGTATGCCTCCTCTATTTTTGGCAGAGTAATGATTTTTTTTAGACCAGGAATTTTTTACACATCATCAGGGAAAGACATGGGATATAGGTAGGAAAAGTCCCAGTCAACAATAGAAGGGATAATTGATAGAAACTTTCTATCCCGCTTAGGCTTCGTGCCTTCGGAACTCGCAATCGTCTCGGCTAGGAATTACGCCCCCCCCTTATAAACAATCCTGGATCCGGCCCTGACTTAGTTTCCTTAAAAAACTTAAGCTTTATTCTGTTCTTTCCTGTTCCTCTTTCGTAACCATGTAGTTAATATTGGAGTTATTTTGTTTTATATTTTGCTTGTTTTCTCACGTATTTGATGTGTGTTGAGGCTAGAAGGAAATGGCCATAGATTTAACGTGCAGTATAATAGCGACATTTTGCCACTAATGGTGTTATTCAATTTACCAAAAGCTTCCCAATCGTTCCGAAATTCTAAGAATTGCTTTTGATCTTTTACCCTGGCAGAATTTTTATTTTGTCTTCGGCTCTCTTTCCGTAATTATTATTATTCGTTCTCTTTTATTGAATTTACATATTTTTTCCACGTCATCCTTTTCCTATATATGATTGAACCGGCCGATTCCATATCTGCCTTAGGTCTTGTATTCATGTTTCTTCTCTTCTCTAAACACAATTTCATTTTATAGGTATTTTATTGGGTAAGTGTTTTTGATGAAACTAAATTAATTAGCAGAGTTCACGATGCTTTTCAGTATATTTAATTTCATACATTTTCAATTTCTACGTTTTCTGAATAATTCAGAAAATAATGTTATTATGGAAAGTCGGTTGTACTAATATCTCGCATTACATTTATGTAAATTCAGTCATTTCAAGATCAACTCATTTTTTTCGCCCACAGAGTTATATTGCATTGCAAGAGAAAAGATATGAATGAGAGTGAATATCATTTTCATTCATCATTTTCATTTGTCAACCTGAAAACGCTTTATTGTATTGCTGATTTCCCTGAGGTCACCGCCGTTATTTGCAATTACGTTACAGTTATTATTTGACATCACGAACTGTCTCTCACTCTTAAAGCTGTTGTTTGGACTGAGTCATGCCTACTTCTTAATGGATGAAAGCATGTTGATCTTTTCTCTTCTTTGGCGCTCATGTAAGGGCAATCGTGCCATCTTCCCTGTTTCAGCAATGTTTTCATAACTGAGCTATTCTTGGAAGCGAAACAGTGCACGTATATATGAGGGGAATGATTCACTTGTGGCACATCAGTCCACAGCATCATGAAGCCTGCAATACTTGTCCTCATTCTTGGGCTCTCCGTTCTTGTGGCAGCCGACGAAACTGAGGCGGAAGCTCTAACAATGAGCGAGTAAGTAGTGTTAATTACATGTACACAAATTGTATGAGAAATGTACAAACTTGTCCAGTTTAATTGACGTAGAATTTATTTGTAGAAAGAAAGTTTAGCGGTGATTACTCTTGTCATTAACTTCGCGATATTTTAAACATAAGACATTCTTTTCTATTCATCTTTACTCACATACATTAACAAATATATGTTTACTAAAAACAGTATGTAGATTTAGCTGATATTAAAAAAATAAACTAAACATTTTCAGGGAGGTTAACCCCGAGTTTGAGCACCCACACAGCCTCAGGAAAAGGTTGACTGATGACCCAAATGAGGAAAACGAGTATGTACCATTACAGTATTGTCTGCTTGACTGAATTTTTGTGTGCACAAAACTTCAGTAAAACAGTGGTAAAGGAAGAAAGAAAAACTAAATAGTGACGTTTTGATATAACTAATTACAATGATAACTATCAAACTCCGTAAGTAATAGTTATTTAGAAAGTCAATATCAAAATACGTTTTTCAGAATTATGATTTATGATACATAATTTTTGTTGTTATTGTTTTTACTATAGATTTTTTTTTTTTTTGGTGAAAGTCCTTAATGCTTCTGCTGGTCGTTGAATACTTCACACACATAACTTGTGTTCTTCCACTATGCAACATTAACACATCTTTTTCACATCACAGCCACGAGGATTTTGGTAGGAGCTATGACAGAAAAATCTAGAACTGTGAAGATCTCAAGAACGGAGGAAAGTGACGGAGACTCTCTACTCGACTTGGGTAAATCCATCGATAAATTTTCTCTTAGAACACAAAATACAGAAGGTTAAGCAGAAGAAAAGACAGAAAATTAAGTAAGATCGGCTAAAGGGACGAGAAATTGTGTAGATTTTGGAGTTTGTTATATAAACAATTAATTCATTTTCTGTTTCTGGGAGATCATGTAAATCCGTCTCCAATTATCTTCTTTTTAGAGTAACAGTTAAACAAGAGAAAATTGAGTCTTGAGTAAAAACTGACTCGTAAATGTGCCAAAATTGTAACTGCACTATATGGGAATATAATAGGAAGCAGATGTGATAAGAATAAAATAATAAAAGTTAATCCTACTTTTCTACCTTTATTTGCATTTTTATTTTGCAATAATATAATTTTTGAGGAATGTTTGTGCTTCTGACTTCTGCAGTCTTCGAACCTCAGTTACGGTTTTTGTTATGAAGCAATACGGTTATTGTTATTGATCTCAGCTATCGTTATGAACATCAAATAATCAGACCATAATAATCACAATGATCAAAACGCACTGCTGTCGTTGTTTCGACGTGAAATGTATAGGAATTTTCAAACGTGATCTGCCGCTGATCATGTCGCGGTCAAATTATTGTAAAAAAAAAAATGGAATGAGACTGTTACATTAGTTAAATTCTCCACACTGTAGTAATGTGTCTTGCATATTTCGCATATGATAAGTCCGATATGCGAAGCTGAGCCTAGCCCGGCCTATGCCAATGAGGGAAGCCCGAGCTGTGTCCAAGCGTCAATTGCAATTCCTCGCGCCTAAGCGAAGCACCGACCCTTCGGATGAGAGGCCGACACGTTACCACTGCACTAGGCTTCTTGCTCAATAAAGATTCAGTCGTTGTATTAACAATTAATAAGGTGCGGATTAAAACATCCTTTGAATTAATTACTATACTAAAGTTTTTTTCATCCGCTTCCGAAATGTATCCACATGTATGGATAAAAAGAATGCAAATTATTCTGAGACTGATAGAAAGATAGATGGATAGATAGATACATAAACACATAATTAGAGAAATGCCGAATGTTACCTAAAGACTAAAGTTTATATGTGATAATTGCACAATATATATAAGAATTCTATTACATCTGACATTTATACACGCTTGCATCACAGCAGTGCTTACGTGAAAATAGATAATTCTATAAATACTATTTTGAATTCATATATATTTCCAATGCACATTATCTCATTCCATTGAGTAACCAGCTATCATCATCATAAGGGGGTATACGCATGGCTGCGCTTTGCCGCGCCCAACCTTTGCCTCCATCTCCTGGGGTCCCTCCGAGCGAGTCTCCATGCAGCATTCCTTCCCACTCCCAGTACATCTTGGCAGATCTGATCGACTTGCTTCAGCCATGAGTTCCGTGGCCTTCTCCTTGGTCTTCTCCAACCTGGGTCAACCCTCTCAGAGATGACCCTATGAGCCGGATCTTCCTCAGGGAAACGAGCCACATGTGCATAGAGCTGAAGTTGGCGCTCTCATATCAGACTAGTAATAGGTCTTGAATCAGTCTTATGGAGTATCCTCTGATTGGACACATGGTCCCTCCAGGTATACCCCATGATTCTGCGAAGATACTTAGTACCGAAGGAGTTAAGACGGGCTTTCAGAGCACTGTTCAGTGTCCAGGTCTCACACCCGTAGAGCAAGACCGGGATCACCAGTGCTCTGAAGAGCCTGATCTTAGTTCTCCTAGTCAAATACCGACAGCGCCAAATACTCCTATTGAGTGAGTCCATAACGGCGTAGGCCAGTCCGAGTCGTCGAGTGACTTCCCGGTCGGAACCTCCGTCGCTCTGCACTACACTACCAAGATAAGTGAAGCTATCCAAGACCTCAATGTTCTCGCCACAGGCATGCACAGACTGAGCATCGACATCCAAAAAGTCCCCAAATTCCTGAACCTTGGTCTTGGTCCAGTTGACCGCGAGTCCCAATGGCTTTGTCTCCTCATGCAGCGCCTCGAGAGCTACTTCCAGGACCTCTAATGTCTCCGCTAGAATCACTGCATCATAGGCAAAGTCAAGGTCTGTGACCTTGAAATTACCAATTGATGCCCCACAGGAACTACGGTTCACGGTACGGCCAAGTATCCAGTCCATACAAGTGTTGAAAAGGGTTGGGGCCAGGACACATCCCTGTCTCACCCCGGCAGACACCGGGAAGAAGGCAGAGATGCCCTCCCCACACTTGACAGTACTCTCAGTATCTGTATACAGGCCAGACAGCAAACCAATAATTCCAGGGGGGATCCCACGGAGACCCAGTAGGCTCCAGAGGCTCTCCCGGTGCACTGAGTCGAAAGCCTTCTTGAGATCAACATAAGCTGCAAGCATACCCTGTTGAAACTCAAGTCGGCGTTCCACAAGGACACGAAGTGCTAAGACACGGTCTACAGTTGACTTCTTGGGTGTAAAACCAGACTGCTCAGGTCTCTGTGCTCGTAATAGGTGGTCGCGCACTCGTGCCAGAAGCAGATGCCTGGTATGCTGAGCAATGTAATACCTCTGTAGTTGCCACAGTCCTTTTGGTCCCCTTTCCCTTTCCAGATAGGGATGACCAAGCCCCTTTTCCAGTCAGGGGGAATGGTACCAGTCTCCCAAACGGCAGACAGGACTGCATGCAAACCACAGATCATGGCTTCTCCACCCGCCTTCAACAACTCTGCAGCAATCCCACAGACACCAGCAGCCTTTCCACTTTTCAGCTTAGACACTGCCCTTCTCACCTCTTCGATGGAAGGTGGTGCCTCACTGATTGGTGGATCAGCCACTAGTGGCTGTGTGCCAGCCAACGGGAGTTGTGAAGACGGGGGATCTACCCTATACAGTTGCTCAAAGTACTCAGCCCAGCGGGCCCTATACTCACGAGGCTCTGACACAATGCAACCATCCAGCTATCATCTTTACGTCAAAAAAGTAATTAACTGGTTTCGCATATATATCTTCGTCGGAAATACAGAAATTCTATTTTTGACGAAGATCTATTTGAATCCAGCTAAAAATATTTCATGTATTGTAAAGATATTCATTCTCATCCATACCTTTTCTACATTTGCATCACCCGTAATGCTCGTACACAAATATATAGGTGATTCTTGGATGTCTAGCTATCTCTATCAATTTCCTCAAAAAAATCACATTGTCAAACAGACTCGAGGACTATTTCGAAGGAAACTTTAGAAACGTATAATATAAAATATATATAAAAGGCTCATGCCCACATACACACGTGATTTTGTAAAACTTAAAACAAAGAACGTAGGTCACTTCTGGATATAAACACAGATAAATAACTAAACGAAGAGACAAAACAAAGGAAGACAGAAGGAGAAAAAAAAGAATAATCCATAACAATATCGGTAAAAAACACCGGCCATTTCAAGGTGAAACGTGATCCTGTTTTACACACTAGTTTCCTCGTCATCAAGAGGCAGTGTATGTAACGAGAGTTTGATTCATATCTGGCAGTTCCCTACACAGCGCCATGAAGTCAGCAGTGATAGTCCTTGCCCTTGGTCTTGCCGTGTTGGTAGCGTCTGACTCCGTAGATGTACAAGCCACCAAACAGGGCAGGTACGCTTTATATGTCTCTTGGAAGTGATCCTTGATAGGTAAAACTGTCAGATTACAATGGCCATTGTCAGGCGACCGCGTTGATCTTTGTGGAAATGGTTACCATGACAAAAATGAGTGAATATCATCGGATAGTTTGAATATAATTGGATGATCAAGTTTCTTCCAATAGTTCTACGTGCTTTTACACGTTTGCGTTCTTGAATAATGCTTTTGATCAATGTTCTCTGAATAAACGTCAGTTAGCCATGTATGATAAAGACATTACCGTATAATTTTAAATATATATTTTCCTCCGAAAACTGAACCTCAAAACTAGTTTTAAAAAAATCTTAAGCCATTTCCGAACCATTTCTTTTAATGTCACAAAGCAAATATATATAACGGGTATACAAGAACGTATATCTTTAATGATCCTTTGATTTCCAGTAAAATCGATGCAGAGGCAAAATATACACACGACATCAACGACAATGTCAGTGTGCATGCTGCCTTAACACATGCTCAAAATGGCGATAAAAGGTATGTATATTCATAATCAAGTTTGCTTTCTCCTTTGCAATGAAAGAGAAAATATAAACAAACTTATTGATGCATTTTCCATGTTGATATGTCTGCCATCAAAACCGAGGAACGTTAAGATAAAAGTGATAATAGTTATCATTGTTGTTATTATTATTATCAACAATATTGTTTTGGGAGTTATAACATGGTAGTAAAAGAACACATATTGAAAATGATAATATGGAATTGATAATAACCATGATGAAAATGATGATGATATTTATTCATCTCTAATGCCATAAATCAGGAACTAATGATATCTTTTAATGAAACGTTCTTCGAGTCAAGTTCATGTCTGGAGGGGAGGAGGGGTGCGGTTTGAATCGAGGTGCCGGAACTGATCTGAAGTCAACATGATAAGACTTAAGACATAAGATGGAGAGTAATTATGAGGGATGCGAAGGGGTGAAGCATAAGCAGTCCCATGCATGCGACGGGCGACCGGAATTCAGGAAACGAGCGGGATGATATCTTAAAACAAAAAGAAAATATATACACATACTTTCTCTCTCTCTCTCTCTCTCTAAGTACCATGTCCTTCCAGAACGTTGGCGATCATGACCTTCCACTGCCATCTATCTTTTCTATCTTCCCTTACTTTAGACCTGAAGAAGATGGTAATAAGAATGTTAGGGAGAAATGCCTTATGTTCAGTGTGAATATATCATAAGTGTTTTATTCATTTTAGTGACTGACTTTGCAATTCTGACTTGTACTTCTGAAACACCCTTACTGGCAGGAAGTTCTAAAATCGGGCAAGTAATATTGAATGTAACTTTTTAAAAACGGTTTTGGGGCCGGAAACGACCTTGCAATTGTACAATTACAAATTGATTTAGCACGCTGCTCCAGCTTGACAATCTTAAAAGGAGGCTCATTAGTTCCTCAGATATGGCATTTACCTTATATGACAA